TCATAACAATTATATATACTGAAAGGTTAAGTGGAAGCTGGCTGTGAGCATCAGGGAGGCAAAAGCGGTCAGATATCACCCTAATACGGCATAAAGTGTTGTTGGTTCGATCCCGGTTCATCTCTGCCAACATAGCGTCTAAGTCATCTTGAGAGCAAAATAACTTATACCCCAATTTAAATTGCACTCCCGGTCGGATTTATAATAGACTATGAGATAAGGCCGCGCGTATACAAGTACAGGTCCATTATTTATTACCCAATATTTTATATATATTAGTGTATTTGATAAAATGTTGAATGTTTTACTTTTAAAGTGACTAAAAAAACATAATTCAGCTTTAATTTAGGTGAGATTTCCACTTCTAGTGCAGCTATCACAGCTCCAACCTTTATATCTCCTCAGTTAAGCTTGGTAGATCACAGCCTAGCATTGCACTACTGAACTGTGTCTGCCCTAAGGTGTCCGCAGTCGGTTTCACTTTTTGAAGCAAAAGACAATGTGTTCATCCAGCAACTTGTGCTGACCTCTCCTCTTGTCTGTGTCTTTAGTCATCCAGTTTGGGATGGTGACACTTTTCGTCGCCTCCTTCCCTCTGGCTCCACTCTTTGCTCTTCTGAACAACATCATTGAAATCCGCCTGGATGCCAAGAAGTTTGTTATGGAGCTGCGCAGGCCGATTGCAGCCAAAGCCAAGGACATTGGTAAGTGTCACTACCGCAACTGAAACAAATGACGCCAAACAAGTCTTTCCCAATATGTTGTGTTTATTACCCTAGATGTTTTTCGACTACATCACCTTCATTAGGGTGAAAATCCCAGAAAAGAGCCCTAAGAAGAAGGAGAGGAGATGTGCTATTAGTTTTAATAAACTGGTCTTCACCTCACTGTATGTGGGCAGTATTAGAAATTACACTACCTCAGACAAAAAGTCATGATAATGACCTTAAAATAGCCCTTTTCAAAGTGCTACATAAAACGTCATTAGTCAAGCAAAAATGATTGTTACAATACAATACAAAGTTAAGACAAATAGGACAAAAGAGTTTATTAGAGATTTAAAGGCACTAAAGTAAAATTAAAAAAACAGCGAGGCAGCTTGGGGTCCTCTGAGTAAACCTTTAAATGAATTCTAAAATCAATTGGAAGCCTATGCAAAGGATCTGAAATGGGGTTGGAAGGTGTGAGCAGGCTTTGCCAGTCATGCAGATAAAGAGAGAGAGAAGATAAAAGCTTGAATTACTTTCTCCATGTCAGAAAATAACAAAATGTTTTTTGAAACAAAGAGAAGTTGATAAAGGCAGGACTGAACTACCTTATTAATTTAAATCAAAGATAATTTCTGGCACTAGGATTAAAGCAAATGTATGAAAACAACAATCATTTTCATCATCTAATGATACAAATGTAAAATGTATCATTAGATGATGATGTAAAAAACACCCTAAAAGAAAGATACTGTCTGGCAGCTCATAACATACAGTGAAGTCTTTCTGCATCTCATGCAGAGAGTGCTTGTGCCATCTAGTGGTGGCTGGTACTTACTGAACCTATAGCGCAGGGGTGTCAAACTCAGATACAATTGTATAAAGGAAATTACAGAGCCTACATAGTGTCTTTTTAGGTTTTAACTTAAAACATTGAAGTCTGGAACAAATGCACAAGCTTTATAAAATTTACTATGATATACACACTGAGAATCAAATTTCAAGTGATTGTAATAAAGGACAACATC